TGCCACACTGTCTTCCACAATGGTTGAACTAATTTACATTCCCACCATCAGTGTAAAAGTGTTCCTATTTCTCCACATCCTCTCCAGCATCTGTTGTCTCCAGATTTTTTAATGATCGCCATTCTAACTGGAGTGAGATAGTATCTCAATGTAGTTTTGATTTGCATTTTTCTAATGACCAGTGATGATGAGCATTTTTTCATGTTTCTTGGCCTCATGTATGTCTTCTTTTGTAAAGTGTCTGTTCATATCTTTTGCCCATTTTTGAATGGACTTGTTTGTTTTTTTTCTTGTAGATCTGTTTTAATTCTTTGTAAATTCTGGATATCAGCCCTTTGTCAGATGCGTAAACTGCAAAAATTATTTCCCATTCTGTTGGTTGCTGATTCACCCTAATGACTGTTTCTTTTGCTGTGCAGAAGCTGTGAAGTTTGATTAGGTCCCATTTGTCTATTTTGGCTTTTGCTGCCAGTGCTTTTGGTGTTTTGTTCATGAAGTCCTTGCCTACTCCTATGTCCTGAATGGTTTTGCCTAGATTTTCTTCTAGGGTTTTTATGGTGCCAGGTCTTATGTTTAAGTCTTTAATCCATCTGGAGTTAATTTTAATGTAAGGTGTCAGGAAGGGGTCCAGTTTCTGCTTTCTGCACATGGCTAGCCAGTTTTCCCAACACCATTTATTAAACAGGGAATCCTTTCCCCATTGCTTGTTTTTGTCAGGTTTATCAAAGATGGTATGGTAGTAGGTATGTCGTGTTGCCTCCAATGCCTCTGTTCTGTTCCATTGGTCTATATCTCTGTTTTGGTACCAGTGCCATGCTGTTTTGATTACTGTAGCCTTGTAATATAGTTTGAAGTCCAGTAGTGTGATGCCCCCCGCTGTGTTCTTTTTGCTTAGAATTGACTTGGCTATGTGGGCTCTCTTTTGGTTCCATATGAAGTTCAAGATGGTATTTTCCATTTCTGTGAAGAAGGTCATTGGTAGATAGTGTTGAGTCTGTAAATAACTTTGGGCAGTATGGCCATTTTCAGGATATTGATTCTTCCTAACCATGAACATGGAATGTTTCTCCATATGTTTGTGTCCTCTCTTATTTCATTGAGCAGTGGTTTGTAGTTCTCCTTGAAGAAGTACTTTAAGTTCCTTGTCAGTTGTATTCCTGGGCAATTTATTCTCTTTGTAGCAATTGTGAATGTCAGTTTGTTCTGGATTTGGCTCTCTTTCAGTCTGCTATTGGTGTATAAAATGCTTGTGATTTTTGCACATTGATTTTGAATCCTGAGACTTTGCTGAAGTTGCTTATCAGTTTCAGGAGTTTTTGGGCTGAGACAATGGGGTCTTCTAGATATACAATCATGTCATCTGCAAATAGAGACAATTTGACTTCCACCTTTTCTATTTGAATACCCTTTATTTCTTTTTCTTACCTGATTGCTCTGCCTAGGACTTCCAGTACTATATTGAATAGGAGTGGTGAGAGAGGGCATCCTTGTCTAGTGCCATATTTCAAAGGGAATGCTTCCAGTTTTTGCCCATTCAGTATGATATTGGCTGTTGGTTTGTCGTAAATAGCTTTTATTATTTTGAGATACGTTCCATCAATATCGAGTTTATTGAGGGTTTTTAGCATAAAGGGCTGTTGAGTTTTGTCAAATGCCTTCTCTGCATCAATTGACATAATCATGTGGTTTTTGTTTTTGGTTCTGTTTATGTGGTGAATTACATTTATAGATTTGCGTATCTTGAACCAGCCTTGCATCCCCGGGATGAATCCTCCTTCATCATGGTGGATAAGCTTTTTGATGTGCTGTTGCAATCAGTTTGCCAGTATTTTATTGAAGATTTTTTCATCTATGTTCATCATGGTTATTGGCCTGAAGTTTGCTTTTCTTGTTGAGTCTCTGCCGGGTTTTGGTATCAGGATGATGTTGGTCTCATAAAATGATTTGGGAAGGATTTCCTCTTTTTGAATTATTTGGAATAGTTTCAAAAGGAATCATAACAGTTCCTCTTTGTGTGTCTGGTAGAATTCAGCTGTGAACCCATCTGGACCTGGGCTTTTTTTGTGTGGTAGGTTCTTAATTGCTGCCTCAACTTCAGACCTTGTTATTGGTTTATTCATAGTTTTGGCTTCCTCCTGGTTTAGGCTTGGGAGGACACTAGTGTCCAGGAATTTATCCATTTCTTCCAGGTTTACTAGTTTATGTGCATATGGTTGTTCATAATATTATCTGATGATGGTTTGAATTTCTGTGGAATCTGTGGTAATTTCCCCTTTATTGATTTTTATTGCATCTAATTGGTTATTCTCTCTTTTATTTTTTATCAATTTGAAACTTCTTTACTAATTGGCTCTGTGATCTTCTGAAACTACCCTAAATTTATAACTTTTCTAAGCTAGAAATTGCAAAGATTATATTTCATTAGGATACCGAAAAAGTTATTTCTCAATCTCAAATCATCCTAGAATTTTAAGTTCCTGTCTTAATGTTTGTGTTAATCTAGAAGAAGCCAGATCTATTGTCTTTAGTAGTGGATTTCTACTGGACTTTAGTTGTAGACTTAGTAGATGAGAGGTTATCTGCTGTTCCAAAGAGGAAAGATAACTGGAGAGAGCACTACTCATTATAAGGATGGATACAATTCTAACTTTAGCTAGTCATGGCGCACACCTATAATCCTAACTACTCAGGAGGTATAGGTGGGTCGATACCTTGAGCCCAGCGGTTCAAGTCCAGTCTGAGAAAAATAGCAAGACCCTGTCTCTTTAAACAAATATCTAATGTTTAGTGACTATTTGAGAGTTACCTAAAAATGTAATTACAAAGATTAAACGTACTTTGTCATTACAAAGAGTAGATGACTTTATTATTTGAAAACAGAAGAAAATTCATTTAGTTTCCAGAGATAAGCTGAATTCTCAAGGATTAAAAAAGCAAGTTCACATGAAATGTCGTATATCTACACAGTTGGGAATTTCCTATATTGAATTTTAGAGAATACAGAACTATTTCAGAATCTATGGAAAGACTTTAGCATAAATCTATCATAGAAATTTTATAATTAGAATATTTATTTTCTTAATATTCAGATAATGCTTCATCCTTTGTAGTACAGGAAACTGGTATCCCTCAAGTTCTCCAAATCTGGATACATGGGGACAGGGTGGAATCAGGACAAAATACCATCTGTTTCTTTTACAACATCCCAAGAGCAGCACTCTCTGCTTTGGCACAAGCAAAGTCATGAGGCTCAATTTGCCTTGTTAAATTTATCTTTAATCATTTTGACATAGAGAGGAAAAAATAGTATCTTACCATGTCCTGTGAAAAGAAAATACTTTAGCAGAAGCTATTCCTCTCAATAGTTCATTACAAAATCAAAGGAGTCCTAGAAGGAATATGCAGATAATACAGCAAAAGCATATCTGCTGGTTACTTGCAGATAATACAGTAAAAGCATATCTGCTGATTACTTTCAGATAATACAGTAAAAGCATATCTGCTGGTTATTTGCATCATGGTCATAAAACTTTCAACCATGGTAGTTACAGTTAATCATTCTTTTCCACCACATCGTAAGACAAAGTTTCCAGTTGCAAAATTTTTCTAAATGCATAAACTTAAAAAAAAAATTAGATCTAAATAGTGTTGAAAAAATTTCCTTTGAAGTTTGAAGGAATGTTTCTAATATGGAAACATTTCATGTGTGTATGTATACATATATATGTATATATGTGACACATGAATATTTGTTATTTCTTTAAAAAATAGTGAACTATTATGTCTATTTCCTCATTATTGTCAAATAAGAGCAAAACGTGTGTGTGGCTAGTCACTATCATACCCTGTCAAAAGCAGAGAGCAGGTGGAGCTGAGCTATGTAGCTTTGCATAGCATTACCTTTTCATGGCCAGATGTGTGATGATTAAGGATATATTCTCTGAAGTGAAGGCTGTCTAAATTTAAATTCCAACTATATCACTTGCCAGTGCATAATACTGGCAAACTGTTGACCTTTTTGGGGCCTCAGTGTCTTTATCCATAAAAAGATGATCATAAGAATATGAGCTCTTTTTGTCTTTAAATTAGATAACTCACAGAAAGTATTTACTTACATTGAGCCTGGAACATGACACACTCAGTACTATTAGGAGTTGTCAGCCCTTGCCAAAAGAGGGCATACTGTTTGTTAAACAACCCAAAGAACTAATAATAGAGATATTAAGGAGTAAAAATGAATTAAAATTTGACTTAGGCGAAATCAGGGGCAAAATATGTTTAAGGATGTTGAGGAGGAAAAGCCTTATAGTACATCTCAATCTTACTGCACCAGTGGTTAGAAATTAGCTTAATTGTAGTTTTCATAAGGTCATTCTTTGGATGCGAACTCATTGATATCACATGATGATTTCAAAAGTGCAGAGGACATTAATAAAAAAATGAGGGCTTGCAGTTTGATCCAACTGGTACCTTGTCATTATCTGCCCCATGTATTTCCCCATTGTCTTTTCTAGGGTGGAATGACTGTTTGGTCACTTTACATCGCTCTCCAGTGATTTGATAAAAATCTTAAATCTTGGTCTGGGTCCTCTACAGTTGGCCTCCAGTATTTTCATAGACCATGCACGTTATGTTCTTTCATAGAACACTGCAATCCAGCTACACAGAACTGTTACAGACAGTACCCTGAAATACCTTTCACTTCTCCATTCCAGAGCTCTGCTCAGGCCCTTTCTTCTCCCTGTACAGATATATTATTACTCTTCAAGCCCTAGCTCCAAGATGAATTCTCTCATGAAGTATTCTTTGTTCGTGCCAGCAGGATAGTCTTATTTTATCTTATAAAGTATTGTCCAACTTATTGTTTGTCCAGCAGCTTTCAAATTTTTAACTGGAATCACAGTAAGAAATGTATTTTGCATTGGCACATATTTCATGCAGACTTACACACACACACACACACACACACCTATACCAAAGCTTCATAAAAGAATACTTACCCTGTATTTGCGATACCACTGTCATATTGTTTCTTTTCTTTTCTAAGTTGGCAAAAGCTCTGACTGCAATCTACTGAAGAGATTTATTTATTCTTTGATTGTGTCACAACCTGCAGTTTGAAAAACACTGGTTTATACAACCTATATAGAATACATCTTATTATTTATGGTGCATAGGCATTATGTTTTCTACCAGATTGAAAGTAATGTTTGATACCATCTGGTAAATCATAGATTCCTTTATTGTATCTAATCATGATTTTTACATAAGTAGTTGCTCAGCACATATTGAGGGAGAAAGGCAAGGAGGCGGGTGGATCACGAGGTCAAGAGATCGAGACCATCCTGGTCAACAAGGTGAAACCCCATCTCTACTAAAAATACAAAAATTAGCTGGGCATGGTGCTGCACGCCTGCAGTCCTAGCTACTCGGGAGGCTGAGGCAGGAGAATTGCTTGAACCCAGAAGGCAGAGGTTGCAGTGAGCCGAGATCGTGCCATTGCACTCCAGTCTGGGTAACAGCAGCGAAACTCCATCTCAGAAAAAATAATAATAATAAAATAAAATAAAATATTATTAAATTTTAAATTTATACATTTATTCCTCATTGGTTTTCTCAGAAAGTATATTTCTCTGAAACCACAAATGCTCCTACCAGCCATATTGAAAATTCATGCCATTGGTAAGAAGCAGATAGAGTTAGTGAATGAATGCTGAGCTAAGGATAAATTGATTACAATTAGAAAATTGGTTGCAAATTCACGTTCTAATGACTGGGTTAGCAGCAGTATATATACAGTATACTTGTTTAAATATACTAGTCTATTGATTGGCAAACTATATATAAATGTTAATGCAACTACTTTAATGTAGTTTACTTTTTTCAGATGTTATCAATGCAAATACTTCTCTACCAATTGTCTCTACTACAATAAAAACATCTGTACTAACACCAAGCACAGAATCATTACAGAATCCTGTTATCACACCAACAATTGGAACAACTCCTAAAGGTAGGATTAACTGTTAGTAAATGTAGCTTAACTTTAACAAATAAAATTAGTAGTATGTATATAAATCAGCATGAGAAAATAATTTGGGATCTTATATCTGATTGTTATAAAGGTCAGTGCTATTTCATAATTTTGAAATTATGTGCTATTTGGGGTTACATACAAAAACCCAATATCTTTGTTAATAGTCTTTGAGATCACTTCCCGTTGAGAATGATTCTATTGTGAGTGTTACATACACAAAGTTTATTTTTAGAGAAGAAAGAAATTTCCATGTCCTAAGTCATAATATATCTTTCTAAATATTCTAGTTCTTCCCCTAAGCAGCACAGCTAACATGTTGAAATTGTATTAATCACAGACTGGTTTTGTTGGTTTGTGACAGACAAGACTGCTACATTGTGTTGATAATAGATTTAATTTATAGGTTTCTGTAGCAATGTAATAATTACTGTTACTGGACTGACTGACAACTATATCAGGTTTGCTAGCTAGGTATTTAAGGAGATTACCTTACCATCCACAAAAATAATAATAATAATAATGTTAAAAGCCATTAGAATCCTTCCATTAAAAAAACAAGAGGTAATCAATGCAATGCATACTGCATTTTACATGTGTTGCATGTAACTCATTTTACATGTATTGCAAGATGGGGCATATCACACAGGTCCTCTAATCAATGGAAAAGAAAAACAGATTTGTTGATTGCCTATAGGCAAAAACTCTGGTTAGAATACTAAGGTCATAGAAAGACCAGAAAATCATATATCTTAATGAATGGATAACTGAAATTCCTACTACTGTCTTTTTTACCCCTTTATTCTCTCCTTAATTTTCATTCTAAGACCAAGATCAAACATATGCAGAAGACCAATGAAAGCTAGTTTGATGGACTTGAATAGGGTGGTGACAAAGAGTATTATGACCATAGTCCATTATTTATGTAATGTTTGCTTATAAGATGACACCAAACCATTTCTAGCAACTTTACTATTGGGGGACCGTCATAGCAGAAAACTGAAGCACACTTCTCTGAAGCGAGTGCACAGAACACTTGAGGTTATATGCACACACATACTCTCTCTCTCTCTCTCTCTCTCTTTCTCTCTCTCTCTCTCTCTCTCGACACTTTCACTGGTTTATATTATTCATTTAATATAAATTACACTGTTGTCTGCATCCATCAATAGTTATCCACTTGAGTGTTAAATTATTTACATACAATTATATAAAATGTAATGGACCAGAGAAGTTTTTCCTTTTTGTTTGTTATTATTACAAAAATAGACAGATATATCCCAAAGTAGAGAATACCTATAATTAATCTCCATATGTCCATCTCCCCAAACCACTATTTATCTAGATTTTATCACATTTGCTTCTTTTTCCTTTTCCCTTCCTGCCTTATTTTTTGTTTGTTTGTTTCACTCTCTTAATTTTATTGTCAAGGTACTTTGAAGGGAACCCAGACTTCATGTCAGTTTACCTCTATACACTAAATATGCATCTCAGAAAATATAGACAATTTATCACAAAGTTGCAAAGCCATCATCAAATCCTCCAAATCAATAATAATACGTTAGTATGATCTGAGATCTATTTTGAGAAATTTTAAGGGTTAAAATCTCAAAATATAAATCTAGCAGTGGGAAGGAAATTAAAGGAAGTCAGTCTGTTCTGGGCTCTCTAATGAGAGCTGCTAAGAGAGTGAGGTGGAAGAGAGAGAAAGCATGAAAGGCAGGCTCTCAGGTCCCCAACTGCTTGGATCTAGAGTGTGAAACAAGGTCTGGTATGGGGTAGGACTAAGAAAGCCGTCAGACAAATGGGGATCTGTGGTGCTTATAGGAGAAGGAGGGAACAGCATTAGACAAAGAAGACAGAGAAAATAACTGCTTTTTCTCTGGCTTACTTGATCACCACCATGTATTAAGGATTAGATGAATGACACTAAGTACACTTAACATGGCCATCCTCCTAAGGGCAACAGAATTAGTACACAGTCACAAAGATGATGGAGAATATCCCTCTTTATCTCGAATTCTTATGTCCTAAGCATTGTGTATCAGTATATTTGACTTCTTAATTTCAGGCCTATGAGGGGCTTACATTTGGAGGAGTTTTGTACACTGTCCCATTCTCCAAAATAATCATTTTTAAAATTACTCAATAAAACCAAAAAAACAAAAAAAGGTATCTGTAGTGAAGAAGTTCTTTATTCCTGTTTACTCATGGCCAACACGGTCCTCTTAGCCACAATGAAAGTATTTACTAAACAAATACAACATAAAGAAGCATCTTTACTTTTATTTTAAGACTTCCTAATCAGATATTTTTTGGTTTAAAGGTCAAAAGCTAGGTGGTCTAATAGTGCTTATGTCTTTCTAAATCACCTAAAATTTATTTCTCTTGCCAATGGCAGAAATTCTATCATCAGAAAAGTGGAAAATGTGCAAGTGAGATGAGAATTCTTCTTGCAGTAACATAATCACTGAAGTGGCAGAAGTGACTGATGGAGCTTTGCCTGGAGCTGGGCTTGTTTTCAGAGATTTGCCCAATTAGAGAAATGGGACTTGACCTCTTCCTAGATCTGCATCAAGTGCACTGCACATTTTGTGCAAAGGCCAAATGACTGGAGTTAAAATTCAACATTTGACAGATGTTGAATATCCCTATCATAAAATGAACTTAGGATAAAAAAGAAACTTGAAATTTTACTTTTTAAAAATTATTGATTATTATTCAGCTTCATTTAAAAACATTTGATAATCTAGTATTTTTAAATGAGTTGCATTATAATGCAGGAATAAACATTTCTCAACATTGATATTAACAATTTATGCTGCTAAAATAGACATTCAATTTCAGCTGAGGTCAGTAAAGGAGCCTGATGATTTTGGCCACCTGTCTCACACAGGGTGCTAAATATGGTGCTGTTTCGGTTGTACAGCCTTTTTGTAGAAACTAACTAGATACAACTATAAAGAAGAAAATTTTAAAAACATTATTGAAAATTTGTTGTATGATTAGTTAGAAAAAAATGAGTTTGGGAACTCCATTTTTCTCTATAGTCTTTCTCCTTTTATTCATTGTCTTTCTGTTCCCTGTTACATTTGAATAGAAATGAAGTACCTGGAATATCTTTGTATATGATTTTTTGGTTTCTCCTTTTTATAGAATTTTGAAATAGCAAAGTTGATGCTTTGCTTTTAGCTCATCATCACAAAACATAAAATGTTTACAAATTAGACATTTTCTTGAAGCATTTGTGGCGTAAATAGAATTATCATTATTCTCAAAGGTTATTTTGGAAAATGGCATGAATGAATGCTAATTTAAGAAACAATTTTGCAGAGAGTAAAATTATGATATTCTGATGATTTAATCTTTTATAAACATTTATTGATTCAAAAGATATAATATCCTTAAAACGAAATAGCTTTTTGTCATAATCACACAATATATTCATGCAACAAACCTGCACATGTACCCCCTGATTCTAAAATAAAATGTAACAAAAAGGAGAGAACAAAGAAGAGGGGCCAGGTGCTGTGGTTTCCACCTGTAATCTCAGCACTTTGGGTGGTTGACGTGGGGGAATCACTTGAGGCCAGAAGTTTGATGCTGCAGTGAGCTATGATCATACCACTGCACTCAAGCCTGGGTGACAGAGCAAGACCCTGTTAAGAAAGAAGGAGAGAACTAAAAGGAGAAGGAAGAAAGGAAGGAAAGGAGGAAGGGAGGGAGAGAGAAAGACTATTAAAGAGAGTGGGAGAGTAGGCATCAAACTGATGAGTCATGTTGACTACTTAAGGCAGATTTGGCCCTTGGTTGATTTTCATGTGCTATATGAGTGCTCCCTTATTTGAAACAACATAGACTAAATGCCTAGTGTATGCCAGGAATAGTTCTTGATACCAACATTTAAAATGTGACTAGATTTGTATACTGCCCTCAAGAATAAAGGAGGGCACCTAGCATAGAGTGGGAACTCAGGACATTGCATAAAAAAAAAATTAACACAGAAGTTTTCAAGTTCCTTCATGACTTATGTTCATTTAGAAGTTTCAATGCCAGAACTAATAAATGAAAAACAATAATAATTTAAAAAATGAGAAAAGAAGACATGACACTCCTATGTCCTATTGATCATGCCACTTTTCTCACTTTTGAAGAATAAAATGATTTTAAACATTATAATTTAGACTTTTGCAATAATTTTTTGCATGTTTAAAGGTACCTAAGTAACAATCTTCATTGAAAACTTGTTTTGGGGGCCTACTATGCAAAATGTGTGTGTGTATGCATGTAGGCCACTGAAGCATTTAATACATATATTCTTTAGACAAAACTAACTGGAAAATGGGAAGAATTAAAGATAGCCAAAGGTGGGATGCCAGTCCACCTATAGATTTGACTTACTTTTACTTGCTTATTCATTGACAGATAACATGAGTTTATGATTAATAATAATGTAATCTATTTCATCAAACTAGGAACAACCAGCAGTGAATTACTTAAAAAGTCTCTGTTATCAACAATTGCTTCATTAACGACAAGTAAAGAAGGTGAGTAATGATTCATTTTTCTACCATTAAAAATATATATAACTCACATATCATAATAGTCACCCTTTTAAAGTGTACAATTGAGAAGTTTTTAGCATATTAACAAGAATGTACAGAAACAACCACTATGAATTTCAGCACATTTTAATCTCCCCAAGAGGAAACTCCATATCAATTTCTAGTCACTTCCCATATCCTCTTCCTTCTTTGTGTTGCTTTCTCTGCATTTCTTAAATTTTGGTATATTATGTTTTCAGGTTAATTTATTGCAAAGTACTTTCTAATATTTCTTATGATTTATTCCTTGACCTCTCTATGTGTTCATGTGTTCTCATCATTTAGTTTCCACTTATAAGTGAGAACATGCAATATTTGATTTTCTCTTTCTATGTTTGTTCGTTAAGGATAATGTTTAACAGCTGGATCCTTATTCCTGCAGAGGACATTACCTCATTCTTTTTTATAGCTGCATGGTATTTCATGGTGTATATGTACCATATTTTGTTTATCCAATCTGTCATTGATAGGGCATTTAGGTTGATTCTATGTCTTTGCTATTCTTTTTTTTTTTTTTTTTGAAAGAAAGAAAGAGAAAGGGTGAGAGAGAACAGAAGTCTTGCTCTATAATGCAATCTAAAAGTAGATATTAAAAACCTCTTTTATGCCAATAATTGTGCTTAACAGTGGAGACAGGAAGAAATAAGGGGAAAAAATAACAAACAAACAGCCAAACAATATTTCATTTAAGTCTGTGAAATGCTATGCAAATGCTAAAGAGTGATTTACTTTCAATTACGTAGTCACTTTCGAAATAAATGTAATGTGATACTGAGAAAAATGTATGTTCTGTAGACCTGGGGTGAAGAATTCTGTAAATATTCACTGAGTTTACTTGTTCCAGGTCTGAGTTCAAATCATAGATGTCCCTGTTAATTTTCTATCTCATTGATCTGTCGAATATTAACAATGTGGTGTCAAAGTCTCCCGCTATTATTGTGCGGGAGTCCAAGTCTCTTTATAAGTCATTAAGAACTTGTCTTATGTATCTGGTTGTTCTTATATTGGGTGCATATATATTTACAATCATTGACTCCTGTTGTTGCATCGATGCTTTTATCATTATGTAATGTCTTTCTTTGTTTCTTCTGGTCTTTGTTAATGTTAAAGCCTATTTTGTCAGAGATATAAGTTACAACTCCTGGTTTTTTGTTTTTGTTTTTTGTTTTTTTTTCTCTCCGTTTGAATAGTGAGTCTTCTACCAACCCTTTGTTTTGAGTCTTTGTGAGTCCTTGCTTATGAGATGGATCTGGATACAGCGAACCGATGGGTTTTGATTTTTTATTCAATTTGCCTGTCTGTGTCTTTGATTAGGGCATTTAATCCATTTAAATTTAGGATTAACATTGATATTTGTGAATTTAATATTGTCATTTAATGCTAGCTGGCTATTTTGCCCATTAGTTCATATAGATTCTTCATTACGATGATACTCTATCTTTTGGTAAGTTTTCGGGATGACTGATACTGGTTGTTCCTTTCTGTGTATAGTGCTTCTTTCAGAAGCTCTTGTAAAGCAGGCCTGGTGGTGGTGAAATCTGAGTGCTTGCTTGTTCATGAAAAATTTTATTTTTCCTTCATTTATGAAGCTCAGTTTGGCTGGATATGAGATCCTGGGTTGAAAATACTTTTCTTTGAGGATATTGAATATTGACCCCCACTCTCTTCTAGTTTGTAGGGTTTCTGCTGAGAGATCTGCTGTGAGTCTGAGAGGCTTCCCTTTATGGGTAACCTGACCTTTCTCTCTAACTGCCCTTAGAATTTTCTCCTTTATTTCAACCCTGGTTAATCTAACAACTATGTGTCTTGGGGTTGCTCTACTTGAGGAATATCTTTGTGGTGTTCTCTGTATTACCTGGAGTTGAGTATTGTCCTGCCTTACTAGGTTAGGAAAGTTTTCCTGAATAATATCCTAAAGAATATTTTCCAGTTTGGATTCATTCTCTTCATGACATTCAAGTACACCTATCAAACGTAAATTAGGTCTTTTCACATAGTCCTATATTTCTTGGAGACTTCACTCATTCCTTTTTACTCTTTCTTCTCTAATCTTGTCTTCTCGTTTCATTTCATTAAGTTGGTCTTCGACCTCTGATATCCTTTCTTCTGCTTGATCAATTCAACTGCTAAAACCCGTGCATACTTTGCAGAGTTCTTGTATTCTTCAGTTCCACTAATTCACTTATATTCTTCTCTAAATTGTCTATTCTCATTAGGATTTCATCAAACCTTTTTTCAAGGTTCTTAGTTTCTTTACATTGGGCTAGAACATGTTCTTTTAACTCACAGAAGTTTCTTATTATCCACCTTCTGAAGCCTAAGTCTGTTAATGGAATTCACTCGTTCTCCATTAGGCCTTATTACCTTGTTGATGAGGAACTGTGATCCCCTGTAGAGGGAGAGGCATTCTGATTTTCGGTATTTTCAGCCTTTTTATGCTGGTTTCTTCCCATCATTGTAAATTTATCCACCTGTTGTCTTTGTAATTACCGACTTTCAAATTAGGTCTCTGAGTGGACGTCCAACTTGTTGATTCCCAGTGCTGGAATCTGAGCAACCCACTGTGCTGGCTAAAACAGCAGCATTAAGATTCGTGGTGCTTTTCTTCCTGGGAATCTCCAGTCTGGCTTCCTTCTTGAGTCCCTTTTTCAATCAGCTCAATGGGCGACTCTGTCTTCCTGGAGCTCCAAACATAACCAAAAGGAGACCCAGTCCCATTTACTCTGCAACAGGAACCACTGCACTGGGCACCAGCAAAACCGCTGTGCCAGCCACAAGACTAGCGCTGGTGACCCATGGGGTTCCTCCGCTGGAAATCTCCTGGTCTGTGAGCAACAAAAATTTGTCTGAAAGTGTGGCATCCTCTTGTTTTCTGTGCTTTCACTGGGAGCTACAATCCTGAGCTGCTAGTAATCAGCCATCATGGATCTCTCTCCATCTTTACTATTCTGAATAGTGCTGCCATAAACATGTATGTGCTTCATAATAGAATGATTTATATTCCTTTTGGTATGTACCCGGTAATGGGATTGCTAGGTTGAATGACATTTCTGTTTTTAGGTCTTTAAGAAATTACTATACTGTATTCCACAATGTTTGAACTAATTTACACTCCCACAAACAGTGTATAAGCCTTCCTTTTTCTCCACGACCTCATCAGCACCTGTTATTTTTTAACTTTTTATAATAGCCATTCTAACTGGTATGAAAGAGTATCTCATTGTGGGTTTGATTTGAATTTCTCTAATGATCAATGATGTTGAACTTTTTTTATATGATTATTGGCTACATGTATGTCTTCTTTTGAAAGGAGTTCATGTCCTTTGCCCACTATTTTATGGGGTTGTTTTTTCTTGTAAATTTAAGTTTCTTATAGATATAGACATTAGACCTTTGCTGGATGCATAGTTTTCAAAAATTTTCCCCCATTCTATAGGGTACCTGCTTATTCTGTTGATAGTTTCTTTTGCTATGCAGAAACATTTTAGTTTAATTTCATCCCATTTGTCAATTTTTGCTTTTGTTGCAATTGCTTTTGGTGTCTTCATCATCTTTGCTCATGCCTATGTCCTGAATGGTATTGTCTATTGACAATCATCATAGAACTGGAAAAAAATATTTTTAAATTCATATGGAACCAAAAAAGAGCCCAAATAGCCCAGGAAATCCTAAGCAAAAAGAACAAAGCTGGAGGCATTATGTTACTGGACTTCAAACTATACTACTGGGAAACAGTAACCAAAACAGTATGATACTGGTACAAAAACAGACATATAGACCAATGGAACAGAACAGAGAACCCAGAAATAAGACCACACAGCTATGCTCTTAATCTTCAACAAAGCTGCCAAAAACAAGCAATGGGGAAAGGACTCCCTGTTCAATAAATGATGCTGGGATAATTGGCTAGCCATATGCAGAAGCTTAAAACTGGACCCCTTTCTTATACCATATACAAAAATAAACTCAAGATGAATTAAAGACCTAAATTAAATAATTATTTTATAATTTTATAAACTTTGACTATTAACTCTTTATTAGATATATAATTTACAAATTATTTTTCTGAACTTTTAAGCTGCTTTTTATTTTACTGATTGTTTCCTTTGCTGTGCACTACCTTTTTAGTTTGATGTAGTCCCATTTATTTGCTTTTGCTTTTGTAGCCTGAGCTTTTGATGTGATATCCAAAAATAATTGCTGAGGCCAATGTGAAGGAGATATTCCCCTATATTCTCTTCTGGAGGTTTATGATTTCAGGTATTATATTCAGGTCTTTTATCCATTTAGAGTTGATTTTTGTGTGTTGTGTCAAATAAGGGTCCGATTTCATTATTTTGCATGTGGTATTACAGTTTCCCCAGTGCTATTTACTGAAGAGACTACCCTTTTCTTATTGTAATTTCTTGATGCCCTTGTTGAAAATTAATTGACCATATATGTTTAGATTTATTTCTGGACTCTTTATTCCATTCCACTGGTCAAAAACACAAATCATAAATGTAAAGTCAATGTATCTTGATGTTGCAATTCTCTTATAAATTAACATTTCTCCAGAAAAATTATGTTTGTGAAACTTAATGCATACATTATCTTCTAGGCTTATAGTGCAATTCATAACTGTAGATAAAAGCAGGTACATATTGTTATGTAGGGGAAAGTAGAAAAGTATTCAGATTTAAAGACCAGCTTTATGCCATTGATTTACTTTTTCTCTGATGGTGTCAATTACTCATTGACAGTAGTTTGGAATAAACTATGTGTTAAACCTAAATACAACTGGAAAATTTTTCTCAACAAGATGTTAATATAACTATGATTCTCATTTCTTAATAAATGTTAGTCATCCATGCATAAAGTTTTCTCTCCTGAGACTAGTATTTGAAGCATTTCTGTATATTGATTAATTTTAAAAATTAGTGGCTGTGGCAGCATCTTTTATTCTATTCAGTTTGGGGTTATCATGAATATTTTAAAATATTTTGATTTACCTTCAAAGCATTCAAGATTTGCTCCATGGCCTACTTATGCGGTATAGTAGACCTGTCCTACATTGAGTGTACGCTCTAATTCTGCTTATTTGTGAAGTATATTACACATTTATAATAGGCAATTTTCTAAGCAAAATCTTTGTCATTGCATTCCCTGCTATTTCATTATTTTTTTCTTCTCTTTGTATATTTCCAATTTGGCAGCCCTCCACATCTTTCTTAGATATATTTTCTCTTTCCTTCCACCAAAACTGTTGAGTTTGCTTGATACTAGGGAACTCTTTAGGCCTTCAGGATAGTTTTTTCATGCTTTCCAATTTTAACTCAGCTGAAGAATTCTCCAATGATTTCTGGAGACAAATGCCTGATGTTTCCCAAACATATGTTGGAATTCCAGTGGGAAGCAAAATCTTTACTCTCCGGAGTTTCTTCATCCTCAAGCATTGAGTTTCTGTACCTTGGGTGACCTTTCCCATTTCCATGCTAACATGAATACCAATTTCTGCTTTCTTGCTATAATAAGGCATATCTCTACTTCACATATTTTCTTCTCAATTTAACATTTTATGATGCCTCTGAAATGTGTGGTCATTTTCACTCATTCTCTCCATATGCAGGATTAAAACTGTAGACTATATTTGAATTTATTTCATTTTGCTTGCATAGTAATTCCTCAAGGCTTTTTGCCCGAAGGAAAATATATTTATCCACTTTCTGTGAGGTCTTCTTGCAAATGATCCCTTTCTCCAGCACAACTCCTTCAACTGCACTAAGAATTTGCATTACATATAATGCTTGTTGACATATAATGGAAGCTGACTGCACTTCTAGAAAGCACCAGCAATTCTTGCTCCATTCTACTCAGTGTTAGAGATCTACTAAAGTGCTTTCCCGTCATCTCCAGCTAGCATCACGTCTATCTAACACCAAGCATGCAGTAAACGGCATGTCTTCATTTTCTTCAGAAGCCCAGTGTTTCCATACTAGACTGAAAAAACTGAAGAGTATCAATTATTATCTTCATAATACTTAGGGAAATACAGGCTGTTTCAAGTCATTTTATTCCGATGTGTCTTTGAAAACCTCAGCTTATCTTTTTGTTGTAAATTTTTCTTTTTTTCAAGAAAAAGAACTAAGTATAATTAAAAGTGTATTCCATTTATGTCCAATGTCCTATTATCCCTCATCCCCTGACTATTCCACCTGCTTGAAAATATTTTCCCAAGTGGCATGAGAACAATAGTGCCATACTTAATTACCACCATATCCCTACCATTCTTTTCACAGGGCAGCTGAGTGATTAACTTTTGCATCAGAAAGGCTTGAATTCAAGTCATGGTTCTCTCCTATTACAAGTTACATTATTGTGGGGGAAATTACTTACTTTCTCTGAGTCTTATATATATAATAATTTTCATCATGATTATTTAATTCATAAGATTATGATGATAAGTGAGATAATCTGCAGCATGTACACAGGAAAGTTAATGTCTATCCACGTTCTTTAAAGAAATTAACTATGTCACCAAAATGTAAACGATAAAATGCTGGATTTCTAAGTCTTGGTCAGAAGACTTCTAGATATTAACCTTCAAGTTTTAGTTGGATATTAACATGAATATTAATAAGATGATCTGGTGATTTGTTGTACCCCTAAGGACTTTTCATTCTTTTTACAGAATTAAGAATCACATCCACTGATGGCAAGATGAATGAGTCCATTATTTCAAGTGTAGCAGTAACAAATCTTGCACTTCCAAATGCTGTTTCAACATCACCAAATTCCCAACACAAGAGTAAGTATGAGGATTTGTACTGAAGTGTTAAACTAGTGTGTTGGATAAAACTAGCTTCAGAATATTTTCCAGCATACAACTGCCAAGGAATTATGCTCTACCTAAATTGTTTCTTAGTCTCTACCCAATAGAAAATTATTTGGCAACTTCGTCTTTCTCAGTGATACCCTATTTCACTGCAGCCATAAATGAATGGGTGGCAAGGAAGATTAATGCAAGGCTGGGCAGTAATCTGTGATATTACCTGCACTAAAACGACAGCTCGGCTAACATATTAGACAACTTAGATGAAATGGGAAAATTGTTAGAAGGAAATAAATTTGCTAAAACTGACTCAAGAAAATTTGGAAATCTGAAAAGATCTATAATGATTAAAGAAATTGAAATAGGAATTTAAAGTGTTCTTATGAAGAAAACCCCAAGCTAAGGTAGCTGAATTGTCAATGCTATAAAACATTTCAGAAATAAATCGCACCAACTCTTTCCAAACTCTTTTAGAAAGTAGAAGCGAGGAAAAGACTGCACAAATAATTATCTGAAACTAATGTTATCCTGATATCAAAGTGAGAAAAAAATGAAAAGAAAAAGCAAGAAAACTATAGACCAATATGACTCTTAGACATATGTGCAAATACCCTTGATAAAATATTGCAAAAAAAATCAGTAGCAAGTAAAAAGGAATTTAAAATATGAACAAGTCAGATTTATCCAAGAAATGCAAGATTAATGTATGAAAACTAAAGACAGTAATACAACATGTTAGTAAAATCAGTATATGCAGAAAGAGCATTTGACAGAATCTAACACTCATATTAAAAACTCTCAACTAACTAGAAATTTGATTATATTTTCTCAACTTGATGAAGGACATCGACAAAAAGCCTACAGCTAACATCATACCTAATAATGACTTTAATGTTTTCCCCTTAAGATCTGGAACATAGTAAAGATTTCTGTTCTCATCACTTTTATTCAGCATTACAGCCAGAGGTTCTAGATGGTACAATTCAACAATGGATAATACATAGATCCATTTAGATTGAAAAGGAAGAAATAAGGCATTTTTATTAGCATACTACACAATCTTCTATGTAGAAAATTCAGGGAATTCACAATAAAACTACTAAAACCTACAGAGCAGTTTGTAGCACAGGATATAAAATATATAAAAATAAATTATATTTTTGTATGTGAACAGTGGCAGTCCAAAATAAAAAATAATTCCATTTTTAATAGCATCAAAAAATATAAAATATGTAGAAATAAATTTAATAATAGAAGTACAAGATTTACACACCAAGCTACAAAATATTTTGGTGAGAAATTAAATATCTAAAGAGACATTACATGTTTATAGATCAGAAATCTCAATATTTTAAATGATAATTATCTCCAAGTTGATCAATATATTTAATGCAATCACTATCAGAATCCCAGTTTTCTTTTTTAAAGAAATTGATAAGATGACCCTAGATACGTACAGAAATAAAAAGGACCTGGAATAGTCAAAACACTTCTGAAAAAGAACAAAGTTGGAGAACACAACCCAATTTCAAAACTTATTCTAAAGCTATAGTAATTAAGTATGAACCTCACAAACATTATACTCAATGAAAGAAGTCATACACAAAACATGACATGTGACATGATCCTATTTATATGAAATATGCAGAAAAGACACTTTATAGAGACAGGTAATTGGTTGCCTGCAGCTGGAGATGGGAGTAGGGACTGACTCTACATAAGCTCAAAGGAGTTTTTCATGTTGATGGAGCTGTTCTAAAACTGGATCATGGTGATGATTGCACAACTCTACAAATTTACTAAAAATTATTACCTGTATTCTTTAAATGAGTGCTTTTAATTGTGTGTAAATATTATCCTTATAAAGCTTTATTGAAAAACAAAAGGAAAGAGAATGATGAGCTTAGCCAATCAAATTTTCTTTCTGAGTAATCTGAACTAGAAAACCCAACAAACAGAAGGAGTTACCTATGAGAACAGAAGCTGAAAATTTCAGTAGAGGGAGTCTGAGATAGTCATGGTGATTCATGTGCATACTTATGGCATCCAGAAGCAGTTATTATGAGTAAACAGGATTTATAGAAAAGAATGGAAAGTATGTTGGGAGATGGAAATACCCTGTGAGCAAAACTAAATTGTTCGTGTGAGGCAGACAGGGAAGTAGAAGCTGCTTTTCAGTTCCAGTTTCCTCACAACAGGCATATCTCACATTCTGGCCTCCATGGTGTAAGTAATTTGTATATATAGCAAAAACACTTGACTGTAAAAGTTAGAAATCTGCCATAATAGATTTATCAGATACCACTAATTATAAGTAATTGATACATTTTTGGTGTATCCATAGTCCTTAATTAGAAACAGCTACAGATGATTCATAGTGTCTAAGTCTTTTCTTGGGAAATCTCTAAGGTAGAAAGAGATGGTAAGTAGAAATTGTGGCTGTCCAGACCTACTCTTGTCTAGAAACTTCAGAAACATAATTTTCCTCTTTTTAATTGTAATGATCTCAAGCACGACATACAGAAGTTTGCCTAGAAGGAGTCTAATTTTACACCATAATTGAAAACTAATTTTGTAAGTAATATATGTCTAAAAGGCATCTTTTAAAAAACAAAATTCATTCACCTATAATATGATGGCTGCTATAAAATAAGAATAATACTACTATACATATATCTACAAAGTGTATAGCAGCTTCTGAAAAACTAAACTCAAATAATTTTTATCCTTCACTAAATACTTACCCATTCAGTGATGTATAAGGAAGAAAATGGCATTCAGGGACTGTGACTTATTAAACCTAGGACATATCAGAAGTATGTGGTCATCCCCATGAGTCACTTAAGACTTTTAATTCTACTTTAATTCATGAAGTAGAATGCTCTCTTCATCTCAGTTCTGGGGATTGTTGTATTGATTTAACTTCTAAACTCAGTTTAAAATGGTTTTCTTACAAGTAGTTAAAAAAATACATCAAAGTCATTTCCTTAAGAAATGAAGCACTCTGGAAAGCAAGGTAATGAAATAAGTGTATTTACTATTGTTCTTTGCTTTTGTTATTTGATAAACAAGTTTTATACAAAATTTTTTAGAATTTATTATAACACTTATTTCTGGGTCAGCCATTATTCCCTAGATCCCCCTCTTTCCTCGGGGTGCTTACTGCCCAGCATGAACCCCAATTGATATAATGAGTTTGCACACATTTCCATTTGCCAAGTGATGAAACTGGGACCTCGCCTAGATTCCTGGTTAGCAGAGCACAGCTCCCTTTCCACCCATCACATATAAACACATTCAGTATCAATGGAGACAGGACAAAGAAACAGACAGAAAACAAAACAATTTATTCTTGGCTAAGTGTTAAACAGCTGAAGATTCATCTCCCTCTTAAACATCTGGGCAATGGTTCCTTGGATTGAAAATATCAGACAAGGGCATTGTGGGTATTTCATCTCAGGATGAAAAAAGTACAGGTTTTATTTAGAGTAGAAGAGTTAGTGAGATTTGTTACTTTATTCCCTAGAAAGTTGGAATTCAGATCTAAAAAGAAGATCATACTAAAAGTATTTATCCCTAAAATTTTCCCATTCTCTTAGAGTGATGTGTATTTTTCTTATTTAAAATGAAACAAATTTCTAGAATCCTAGAATTTTTAAAATGGAACTTCTCAGTCTAGTGCTCTGATTTTATTATTTTTAAAATGTAGGTTTTTGAATGAAAATTATTTACTAAAAATCTTTCAGAGGATTATCTCTGTATCTGGCATTATTCTGTATTGTGATAAATATTTGTATATTAGACAGACCATGCTATCATGAAATTTACCTTCTAGCAGATAAAAAAGATAAATAAGTTAAATATGAATAATTAAGTATCAGAGATACTTTAAATAATAAAACAGTAAAGGAAAAGCAAGTGAAGTCAGTAGTGCTAATTTTCATAAGGTGCTCAAAGAATTTCTCTCTGGACATGTGCCATTTGGAAAGAGAACTAAATAAAGTGAAGAAGTGAACATATGGATATCTGGGAAAGAGGATTCAAAGAGGAAATACAAAGTGCACAGGTGCTGATGATATGTGGGTGGATTTAAGTTGTTTGAATAAAGAGGAGTCATCTGTGGTAGGAGTGGAAGGAATGAATGGAAGAAAAGGTAGCAGATGCCATCAGAGATGGAAGCAGGAGTCAGTCCAGACAGGACCACACAGGCCATGGTGAGGATAGTGGATTTTATTCTAATTGGATACACAATGTGATGGAGAGTTGAGAGCAGGGCAACAATATAATATTATTTACATTTTCAAAAGACCTAAATTGTTAAACTACTAGAAGACAACCTAGGAGGAAATCTTTTTGGCATTAGTCTGTACAATCATTTTTCAGATATAACCTCAAAAGTAGAGGCAACAAAAGCATAAATAGACAAATGAGATTGTATCAAATGAAAAGGCTTCAGTGCAGAAAAAGAAACAATCAGCAGGGTAAAGAGATAACCTATGGATATAGTTTGGCTGTGTCCCTACTCAAATCTCAGCTTGAATTGTAGCTCCCATAATTTCCATGTGTCATGGGAGTGACCTGGTGGGAGGTTATTGAATCATGAGGGCAGGTCTTTCCCATGCTATTCTTGTGGTAGTGACTAAGTTTCACTTATTCTGATGGTTTTATAAAAGGCAGTTCCCCTGCACAAGCTCTCTTGCCTGCCATCATGTCAGACATGACTTTGCTCCTCATTACCCTTCAGCCATGATTTTGAGGCCTCCTCAGCCATGTGGAACTGTGATTCAATTAAACCTTTTTCTTTTATAAATTATCCAGTCACAGGTATGTCTTTATTACCAGTGAAAGAACAGACTAATACACCTATAGAATGAAAGTAAATATTTGCAAACCATACATCCTTTTAGAGGTTAACATACAAAATATATAAGAAACTCAAACAACTTTATGTCAAGAAAACAAATAATCCCATTTTA